TCCGAAAGATTACAAGATATAAAGGAAGGAAAGGAGATTGCAATGCTGGCCAATGAAATGAACCCAGATGAGATTAAGATACCGGCTAAGAAGCCAAGCAACTTCGCACCACCAAAAGAAGCCGCTACCAAGACTATTGATCTACTGACTGTTGATTTGGAGAAGACGACAATCATCAGTGCAAATCTCAACCCCAAATAGGAACTCGCGCTCACCAACTTTCTTTGGGACAACAAAGATATTTTCGCTTGGAAGCCAGCAGACATGCCAGGGGTCCCAAGTTAGTTGGCTGAGCACATAATTGATGTGAACAAAGGGTCCAAACCCGTTAAGCAGAAGTTACGAAGATTCGCTCCAGACAGAAAAGCAGCAATCAAAAAAGAGATCACCAAGCTCATGGCAGCAGGATTCATCAGAGAAATAATCAACCCGGATTGGCTTGCCAACCCGGTCCTAGTAGAGAAGAAGAATTCAAAAGAATGGCGCATGTGCATCGACTACACAGACCTCAACAAACATTGCTCAAAAGATCCATATGTCCCACCAAGGATTGATCAAATCATCGACTCGACAGCAGGATCAGCTCTGTTATCCTTTCTAGATTGCTATTCAGGCTATCATCAAATATCCTTAAGAGAAGAAGACCAAAGCAAGACTTCATTCATTACACCCTTTGGGGCATATTGCTATAAATCAATGCCTTTTGGGCTAAAAAATGCAGGGGCAACATATCAAAGAGCAATTCAAACTTGCTTGGGGAGTCAAGTCGGAAGAAATGCAGAAGCATACATTGATGATGTAGTAATCAAGACAAAAGAACCCGGATCATTGATAGAAGACCTCGAGGAGATTTTCAAGAATCTAAAAGCATGACAGTGGAAGCTAAACCCCACAAAGTGTGTTTTTGGGGTACCATTAGGACAACTACTCGGGTTTCTAGTCAGTAACCGAGGAATTGAAGCAAGTACAAAGCAGGTTAAAGCCATCGTGGATATGAAACCTCCAAAGAAAGTTAAAGACATACAGAAGCTTACAGGATGCATGGCAGCACTCAACAGATTCATCTCCCGACTAGGAGAAAAAGGGCTACCTTTCTTCAAATTATTGAAAAAGGCAGAAAATTTTGAATGGACAGAAGAGGCAGAAGAAGCATTCCAAAAGTTAAAAGAATACTTGGCATCATCACCAGTAATGACACCACCAAAAGACAGAGGACATGATGCTATACATTACAGCAACCAAGAACGTTGTCAGCACAGCAATTGTGGTTGAGAGAGAAGAACCCGGACACGCATACAAAATGCAAAGACCAGTCTATTACATAAGCGAAGTACTAACAGAATCAAAAGTGAGAGACCCACACGTGCAAAAACTACTTTATGTAGTGTTGATATCATCAAGAAAGCTGAGACATTATTTCCATGAACACAAGATTACGGTGGTAACCAATTTTCCACTTCAAGACATTCTACGCAACAAAGATGCAACAGGTCGAATATCAAAATGGACAGTAGAACTTGGTGCTCTCAACCTAGACTTCAAACTAAGAACAACAATCAAATCTCAAGCATTATCCGACTTCATTGCTAAATGGACAGAAATCAGTCAAAAGGAACCCGAACCAATACTTGATCATTGGAAAATGTATTTTGACGGTTCCCTAAAGTTAGGAGGAGCTGGAGCAGGAGTACTATTCATATCACCAGAAGGGAGACAGTTAAAATATGTGCTACAAATACTTTGGCAGGCAACTAACAATGAGGCAGAATACGAAGCATTAATACACGGTCTAAGAGTTGCAAGCTCGCTTGGGATCAAAAGACTACTTGTCTACGGTGATTCAGCTGTAGTAATCAATCAAGTCAACAAGGATTGGGATTGTACAAAAGATAATATGGATGCGTACTGTGCAGAAGTCAGAAAATTGGAGAAAAACCGCCAAGAAGAATGCGGAGCAAAGCAACGTGCAAAACCGAAACTCCAACGCAAACTATACAAGGAAAGGAAAAGGCGACCTTGTATCCGAATAGAATCGTAGCTTAGGACTATAAAGAATTTGTATACCCGAATAGGACCGATACAAACAACGCCTCAGGCTAATGCCCTGGACGTAGGTTATTACTCGACCAAGTCGAGGGGAACCGATATAAATCGTGAGTCTCTTTGCGTAATCACCGATTCCGCTATGAGGGTACCCGCGTGGCCCATTGTAAAAAGAGAGAGCCCGCAACATACCCGATACTCAAAAGCAATATAACGCAGCGCCAGCTGGTGCTCCCCCGAACAGCCATCGCCTCGAGCAATGCATCATAGCAATGCCGAGATCTTGCAGATGGCCCCTAAGCCCTTGACCGACGAGGGGAAGCGTGTCCATTAGGAGCTGCGAGACTGCGAAAGCGCGGCAAAGGCAAGCAGACTCAAAGCTCCGTGGAGAGGTAGCATCGAAGCAAAATCGGTGGTGCCCCGAGGGGCACCACGTGCCAAGCACACCTCCGGACGCAACCGCTTCAGGGAAACCGCAATGCCCGTCAGCTCAAGGCGCCAAGCACCTGGTGAAGGGTCGAGATGGCGGACTAGAGGGGGTGAATAGTCTTTTCTAAAATTAATCACCAAGTCGAGGGGAATTAAAACAACCAAAGATAAATCGTGAGTCTTCACTAGCACCTTGCAAAGATACTAATAAAGCAACTAAGGTGCCGGGCTAGCTAGAGCTCTCCTAAACAATTCTAGGAGCAATTCGCCACTAGTACTTTATCCTATACATGCTAGTAAGTCAAAAGCACAAAGCTAACTAAGCTCACTAGCAATACTCAATAACAAGGCAACCAATGCCTACCGCTTAGCTACACAAACTAAGCAATGTGGTAAAACCAAACATCGAAGGGAGGATGCTACACAAGCATGAAGGTAATTAGCTAGCTACACAAGCTATCTAATTACGCAACACAAGCTTAAGATATATATATAAGTAATTGCAAGCTTGTGTAATGGGATGCAAACCAACGGGAAAGAACAAGGTTGACACGATGATTTTTCTCCCGAGGTTCACGTGTTTGCCAACACGCTAGTCCCGTGTGCTCACTTGGTGGATCAAATAATTAGCAGACAGAGGAGACACCCGTCTTCCTCAATGACACGCTTTACTAGAGTTGCTCCATGGGCGAGCACAATGCCCCATCCGGAGCGCCGCACAAGCTTCTTCTTGGCGCTGACGGAGACCGAGATCTTGCGTCTAGGAGGTGGCAACCTCCAAGCCCTAAGCCCTTGACAACTCGATCACCTAGTGCCCTCGAGTGCCACTCGATCAAGGATGCAATGCCACGATGCAACTGCACTAGAAGCTCACTCACACAATCGAATGATCGCATCAAGTATGTGTGTGATGGAGGCTCCCCAAGCACTCACAAGCATGGACACTAAGTCCCTTGAGGTGCTCAAGACCAGCCATGGCCGCGAGGCCACTTCTATTTATAGCCCCAAAGGCTAAACTAGCCGTTACTCAGCAAGCTCCGTGGAGAGGTAGCATCCAGCCACGTGTCCCTGCGTTCAACGGTCCGATCCCACGGTCATCTCTTCAACGCCGGTGCAGAACCCCCCCGAGGGGCACCACGTCACTCTCCGACCATCTGCGTCATCACTCGTCCGGCGCCGACGGCATCCGGTGCATTCAGCGGGCGTCGGTTGACACATGGGCGGACCACCAGAATTTTGCATCGGCGCAATAGAAAATAGGCATTCTATTTTCCGAAAGCGTTGAATCCCGCCTCATAAGCTCGGCGGGAGGGAGAGAGGACCCAAACCCATCTCACCCCCGCAAAAACACCACCTCCTTTGCAAATGTGCCAACACCACCAAGTGTACACCATCATGTGTATGTGTGTTAGCATTTTCACAATCATTTCCCAAAGGATGTTAGCACTCAACAACTTGCGCCACTCGATCCTAGCGACAATGCAAAGTTAGATCACTCGAGTGGCACTAGATGACCGATATGCAAACAAGTTTGCCCCTCTTGATAGTACGGCCATCTATCCTAAATCCGGTCATAAACTTCTCTACACACCTATGACCGGTGGAATGAAATGCCCTAGGTTATACCTTTGCCTTGCGCATTCCATTCCATCTCCTTCAATGTCGATGCAACACATGCACCAACATGATCAACAATGATATGAACATCACATGATCATATTGGTTCATCGATCTGACTCTACTTGCTCTTCACCGTTGCTATAGTCCATCGGCGCCAAGTCTTGCTCAAGCTTCACCGGGTCCATCACTCCAAAGCCTTTGACTTGCCCTTCACGCGCAGCGGTCCATCAAGCCAAGTCTTGTCTTGACACCTTGATCACATGACTCAATGTCATGTCTTGCAATAAAAGGATCACATGTGTGAGCTTTGCAAGATCTCTAAGCCATTTTCACCTTCATGGCATATGCTGCTCACACACATGTAGGGGATACAAACCCCACAATTAGTGGTTGGAAGATTACCAAAACCAACAAGGACCTTTCACCTGGGCCAAACTGGGCAGACGATGACCAACTACACTACGGTGACAGCGACCCGAACAACCATGGCTGGCATCCTAGGGTTCGGGACGCCGACGCACCTCTCATCATTTACAAATAGGATCCGACAGATGCCATTCGCCAAGTACTGGGGATACAAACCCGCCGCCGTGTGGGTTGAAGACTTCCACCCTGTCGCCGAAAGCTAGGAACCTCTTCATCAGCCCAATACTTGCCGCTCTACCTTACCTCTTCATCATACATTACTCTGCCTTGCGGAACATTATTAGCTTCTTATTAGAAATAAATAAGAAGCAGAATCAAGCTCAAGAAACATACATCAAGCTCTCCTTGAGGGACGGGAGCACAAGCTCAGGATGGCATTGTGTGCACCACACCTTGGATGTCACAAACTCCTCCTCCCTGGACACCACAACCCCGCGCCGCACTGCCTCAGCCATGGCCTCGCCGACAACGCGCTCAGAGGCCTAGAGTGCCGCAGCGTCGATGTGGCGGTAGCCAAGCTCCAGCGCAGTGGGCACAGCGGTCCTGACGTCCTCCGCCACAAATGGGTGTGACGCTGTGCCAAGCCCCACTGCTGGCATTGGCTGCCCGATATTGCCCACCAAGAACTCTGGAATTTTGGAGTAGCAGGTGATGCTCCTTGCTGCTGGTGATGACATGGCCTGCTGCTTGCGTGTTTGTCTGTGTTTATCTAGTGTGGCAGGGGCCGTGTAGATAGTGTATGCAGCACCGAAATTCAGGATATGCATACAGAGCCTACATGATACAGCCTCATTAAAGCCAAATTTATACATAAATACAATACAATCAAAGTGAAAAACAACAACGAATCCATGACAGTAGCCTGGTTATAGATGATGCACCAAGGATAGCTCAAAAACATGTATGAATCGTCATATACCGATATATGAATCAAAGCTAGCAAATTTAGTGATAAAATCATAAGGTTTCAATAATCGAACATAGAAAATAGGAGGAAACATACCAGTAACGTACTAGCCTGAAGTTTGGTTATGAGGCAACAACAGCTTTTTGGGCCTTCAAATGTATATTCCACCAAACTACATATGAATAATCAACGGGTGAAAATTATGGATAAGGTGAGTTGTATTGGTTCAACAGCCAGTTCCTGTGCTTCAGTAAAGCATATCCTATTCTAAGAGATAAAGAACAACCAGAAACAGGTTCACCCATTAGAGAGCTGGGAGCCGGCGCATACATTGGTACGAATACAACAGCGGGTCGCCTCAGTTGTGCATCTAGCGTAGCTGCAATTATGCATCAGACTAAAAAGGTAGTACAACTTATCAAATGGGGATAATGGAGAAACCTGCTCAGTCGTCGCTTTGACCTGGTGCCGGTTATGCTGCCGCAGCCGCTTATTGGTACCGCACTGTCGAGGTTGACGAGTTGACGGTGCATCTCCCCGAAGTTCTTGCGAAGGTCGACGGCAAGGTTCTCGATCAGCTGCTGCATGGTGGGGGTGGTGGAGTCCATGGATTGTCTGGTCTCCGGATACCAGTGTAAGAGCCCGATAGGGAGGGGCCCTAGAGGTGGCAGCTAGGGTTAGGAGGGGAGCTGTGGGCAGCAGCGTAAGGAGAGGGCGGCGGCGCTAGGGCAGGAGGGAGGGAGAGAGTCGGCGCAGGAGAGGGAGAGAGAAAGGAGAGATAAGCCTTAAGGCAATCCTTTCTTGATTCCAATGATTACATAGTCCCTCTTCTTATAGTCCTGGGTAGACTTGTATCCTAAGTAATCTAATGAGGGAAGTCCTTATAGATATGGACTCCTTCCTATCTTAGGTCATCCTATTCCTATTGGAGATCCTCCAGGTATGGATAGTGGAGCGTCGGGGACCCGCCCTCGCTTGTGTGCGCCTCCCCTAGGCAGCACCGCTGCTGCTGCCGGTGGCGACGACCCTCCTGGCTCCGCTGCTGCTGTTGGCGCCTGGGCCATGTGGGCCTAGGGCCCTCATCCGGCGTATGACATGGTGCGAGCTTATGTTCATAGCATTCTTTAGGTGGCTACTTTAATTTTATCTAGCACCTTACAATTTGTGTAGAGTTTTGACTTGTAATCCAGTGAGGTGGATTAATATTTGTCTTATTTAATCCAGTGAGGTGGATTGGATTTGTCTTACAATTGAATGTTAGGCTAATTGTATAGCTATAGATAGTTAGATGGAACTTGTGTGCGTCTCTTAGGTATTATGTGAATTACATTTTATTTGTGGGGATTGGTGTTTCTTATAGTACTACCGAGAAGACGAGGTTGTATTTTGATTGGTATTATTTAGAATCTAAAATCTAACAATGCAGATGAAACTAACAGTGCATACGCCATGATTATGTACGTGAATTTAATTATGGAAACTTAGTTGATACAAATATTTAGTAGTGCATCTGGTTCTGTATTGTGTGCTTCCCTGTAGGATGTTGGTTCTAGCCTTGATGCAAGTAACCTATAGTTCTTAACTTTTGCAGGCTAAAAGGAGTGTTCCACATGAAGCAGTGGTTGGCATATTTGAGGCCTGCCTGCCCAGACCAACCGAAACAAAGGCCAGAAAATATTGCTGATATTGACATAGATGGGTGAGGGGACACTGAAACGTGTGGATGTTTGTATCCATCTGATGCTTCATTTCTATGAGTGTCCATGGATGCAATGTGATGTGTTGCTGCTTCTCTTGGGTAGTATAGATATATAGATAACTTTTACATTTGTTAGCTTTTTTCTTAACTGATGTCCTTTAACAGTTTCTGGTGACATGTATCAAATTGGCTGGTCAGGCCCTGGCACTGAATATGAGGGTAGGCTAACAGCTGGAGGCTGTATACTAATAACTGTTATATCAGCTGCAACAAATTGTTTGTGGATGATCAACTTATGCTTAGTGTTGGACGTTTAGCGTTCAAAAAACATGCCACTCTGTTAATCGACTAAATGATCTTGGTAGACTTCTTGGCTGCAAAATGTGTAATTTGCTACTATTTAGCGTTCCCCATTGCACATATGGGTTACTATTCCAAGCTACTGGTTAAAGTGTTTGGTAATTATCATCGATGATATTTGGTCATTACGACTTCTGATCTTAAGATGCATAATACAGATCTTTGCATTGCCATGTCTGCTGAAATGAATATTAATTTCTGATAATGACAGGGCGCGTGAATTCTGATCATGAACTGCAATGGATCAGTATGTAATGTATGGCCGAACAGAACCATAATAGCTATGGTAGCCATGCATGAGTGAAGGATTGTGTAATCTATGGCTGAACAGAACCATAACGGCTGCGAAGGCCATGCAACTCATGTTTGTGAATGCTCCATTTCTACTGCAAAAATATTAGCGATAATTGTGTTTTGTATCTTAGCCATATCTATTGTTCGAAAATTGTTCTTCTTAAAAATATTAGCCTGATGTTCTAGTGAAATTAATGGCAACCGGAGGCTGCGGATGCTCCCTGTGGTGGATTGGGTACGCCACCAAGCCATCGGGATGGTGCAGCGCCTGAAAAGTGAAAACCACGGTCGGGCGCCTGATGTTCTAGTGAAATTAATGGCAGCCGGAGGCTGCGGATGCTCCCTGCGGTGGATTGGGTACGCCACCAAGCCATCGGGATGGTGCAGCGCCTGAAAAGTGAAAACCACGGTAGAAGTGCAGTGCAGTTGAATTCTCTGGTCTGTGATCTGTCAAGTCGATCGCTGTGAGAGCGTGAGCTTTCAGAATACCTGCACATCCTCGACGAAGGCATCCGGCAGCTGACCGTGCGGGATGGCTGCCCAGCCGTCGAAGTGCACGATCGTCTTCACCGCGTCCGGCATGGCAGCATGCAGCGGGTGAAGGTGTCCGTGGAGGAGGTGGTGGGGACATGAGGCGCTAGAGTAGGCGAGCCGGCAGATGGTACAGAACCTGTCCTTCACGTGCACCGGCGGCCCGAACTGTCCCTGGGCAGCCAGGGCAACCATAAGCTGAGCAACGGGGCGCCGAGGCCCTCCTGCAACCGCAGCCTGCGTGACAAGTTAATTATTATTAGCCGCCCATGCAACGGCAAATCTACAATGTAACACAAGAACAAACTAAAGAATCCCAGAAACTTTTATTTATTACCTTGCAGCCTAGACTGCAAAACCTCGCGCCGCGCCTAATATAATGCTTCGTTGGCAAGAGTGGCAATTGTTGCGCAACCTCAGATCATCCCGCTCGACTGGAAGGATGGCGCCACGTTCGTTTGGGCTGGTTTGGACTTATAAGCCAAGACTGAAAGTACTATTGACTGGTTTAGTATGAGAGAAAAATACTGTTTGTTGACTGATAAGCCATGACTTATAAGCTAAATACGACTAAACCAACAGGCCGTAGGATGTACTCGCGCCCGCCGGAAGGGATCCGCTGAATGAATGATATGTCGAACCCGCATCCCACCGCACTCGTGGCATCGACGACGGCCAGCCGGCCGCCGATGGTCTCAACCTGTGGCAGGATCGGACAGCGAGCAACGAGACATGAACACGCATGCACGTAGACGTATTCCTGGGCAGAAACATCGCAACAAACTTGCTACGAAACCGTTGCAGGCGACGAACAAATCCTTCAGCAAGAATACGAACCTCTACTGTTCGAGAGGAACAAGCCGAGAAAGAAATCATATGAGCAGAACTACAAACCTCTACGGTAGACCGAACAAGAACATGGTAGCATCAAACAAAAACAATAACATCCTAACATGAAACAGTTAGCGCGAGGAAGAAATTCACCTCTTCTTATACGACAAGAACCGAACCTCTACTTCATACGACAAGAACCGAACTGTTCATACGATTCAAAAGGAAGAACAAATGTTCATACGATTCGAGAAACCCAGCAAGAACATTCATACGACACCGTTCATACGATTCAAGAGGAAGAACAACTGTTCATACGATTCAAGAAACCGAGCAAGAACATTCATACGACACCGTTCATACGATTCAAGAGGAAGAACAACTAGAAGCCACAGATACCCAAGAAAAAGCGCATGCAGAGTTGCCCTACCAGGAGCGGGTCGCCTGCCTCGTGCGGGTGGTGTGCCGCCCGGTGTCCATGGCGCTCGCAGCGAGCAAACCTGAGACGAGCAGTGAAACAGAAGAAACTGGTGTGGCATGGTGCCGTCCAGTCGGTGCTGATGATGCGTGCTAACGCAGCATTCTCCATCTCGTGATCCCCCGCTTGCCGGCTCCCGCACGACCTCCTCTGAACTGGACGAAAGGAGAAGCGGAGGAAGACGAAGGAGACTAGGAGAGAAGAGGAGTAGCGGAGGAACGTGCCGATTGGGCAGGGCGTAGCCCTATTTATATCACGAACCGAACACGTCTGTTGTTTGCGATGTTGGTGACAAAATAAAGACGCCAGATGCCTAGGTGTACGTCTACTATGAAATTTCAATTTCTGGTTTCCATATTTGGAAAGGTGTTTGAGAATCCAAATCCACGTAATAAATTTTGTACAAACTTCTTTAATTCTTGAAATTATATTCTATAAAATTTCCTAGAGCAATCAAAAGGACCTTTTCATAAATCAAATCCTCAGGAATTAAGCACGCCCTCCGTTCCAAACTATAAGTTCATTTAGCTTTGTTCTATGTTAAATTTCTCTAACTTAGACCAGCCAGCGTGCGGCGGCAGATCTAGGACCTCCAGATCCGGATCTCGCGCCGGGGCCACCGGCCCCGGCGTCCTTGTCCGCTGCTGCTCCTCTTGGCCCGTCTTTTGCCTCGGGCCATGGTCTGGGTGTGAAGGTGTTCATCCACGTGGGCGCATTGGCGGCCGGTCAGCACCCGTGGTGCGGTGTGCTCCGATCCGGCTCCGCCCCCACCAGTCCGGCGTGCGGCAGGAGGCTCGCTCCGGCTACGCTCTCCCCTGCGCGATGGCCGTCGTCGACGTGCTCAAGCCACCATTGTGTGCATCTGGAAGCCCGCTCCTGCTCGGCGTCAGCGTGCGCCTCGGCCTGCCGCGCGCGTTGGTGGAGCTTCACGAGCAGCTCGGCCGGCGGCCGGAGCTCACTTCTCATAGGCTTGGACGCTCTTTGGCACAGTGGCGCCCCCACCTCGACCGTTGGTGTCAGGTACTGTGCTGGGTTGTCTATCCTGCCCGGCTTTGCTCTGGGCCAGCGGTGGTGGCGCAGTCTGCGTCATACTCCTTTCTGGAGGCATCACCCATGCATGTACTTCCTTTTTATGTTCATTGATATTTTCGTTAGGCAGTGTATAATTCATTCATATAGTTGGAACTCATATTTTTTACACGCTCTTTTTTGGGTACCCTTTCCTTTAATTACAATGAAGTATTAACTTTTAAAATAATTTGATGGAGGTAACTATTGACTTTGGCTTTTGTGTTCTACTGTTCTGTACATTAATCCCTGATAAAATCCATAGATCAACGAAGAGGAAGGTCACAGTACATTTGTCTGTCCCGGTTGCAGCCAGATATTTATGT